TATAATATATATATATATATATATATATATATAAAGAGAGAGAGAGAGATCAATAAAATATTCTGCTCACAATAGCTAAAGGAAATGAGTGAAGTTATTGAGGAGAAATGACACATGCTGCCAGTGTGTGTGTGTGAAGTGTGTGTGAAGTGTGTGTGGGGCGTGTGAACGGTGCCGCTGACCGGGGCTGCTGCCTCAAACACAGCACTGTCTTTCAGCCGTCGAAGAAGAGTTCCTGTACAAGAAAACGGTAGGGTTTTTAACGTCATTTCAAAATATTTAGAAACTTTATGCTTCTCAGTAGCGTTTGGTTAAAAGATAAAACGGACGAACAGGTGTAACGTCAGTAGGTCTTACGTAACAGTCCTATAGCCTACCATTACCAGTACCATTTCAAGTACACTTATTGTTAGGGAAATTTTTTTTATATAAAATATATCGATTAGAAGTTTATTTATAATTGTATGTATTTGTTTGTGTTTGGCTTATAGCAAGTGGATTACCTTGAATATATTTCCTACTGTACACATCCTGTCTAAATTAAATAACATACATCTCTCATGAATGTAAGGACATAAAGATAATCAAATATCCTGTGAATTCAACATCCAGATTAGATGCAAACAAAATAACACTCTTATTGAGTTGCATGCTGTGTTTAACAAAGTTTATGTGTGGAGATGTAGGGATGTGTATGAGGTCTACTCAGAGCTCTTGTACTGTAAATACTGTGATTGTGCTCAAACATTTTTTCTCTATGGTGGGAGTGTCCAGTGTCCATTGTGCGTTTGTAACCCAGAGCGAACTACAAAACATCTTATTTCATTTTTTTCCATCAATGAAAGGCAGCAAAGAATGACATCACCAGATAGTCCAGGAAAGAGCATACTGCACACTCACAGGGTGCTGGTGCCATCCGGTATTACTGTGCCTCTAAATTATTGATTAGGTCTTAATCACTGGGGCCAACAGATCTCTGGTAAAACGCTCTCTCTCTCTCTCCGTTTGAGATATGAAAATATGAACGACTATTCTGTGTCTTGTGCCACTGTCTGTAAGCCCCTCATAATGAGATGCATGACAGGTAGATGAAAGGCTTGGGAGGATCCACTAACCTTTACCATCAAAGTTGTGTTCTGTAGGGGACAAATACCAGCAGTGGCACCTGCAGATGTACGGCTGTAGGCACTGTGCATACCGTGAGCACTCCGAATGACCGGAGAAACGTTTGCCCTGCAAATATTCCAGCAGTTATGTGTGTCCCGTAGCCTATTTCTGTCGACTGAAACAGCCATGCCTTTAATTATGGAGTAATCATTCTTTTGAGTAGGTTCTTTCACTGAACTGACTAAACGTTTTTGCAAAATGGCCTGAATCGATTCGCGTTCTTTCGGACAGCTCTCTCGCGGAATCACATGCAGCGTTCCTCTGTCAGTAAAACAAAAAGAATACTTAAGAACACAGAGAACAAATAGCGTTGGATGAAGTGGATTCAACGCTAGACGCAGTAAAACACTTTGTAGATAGAAACCTTTTACACTGTCTAGAGCGCAAACACAAATACGCACTCCATAGTTTGCCATATCTGTTTCGCCAATATGTTAGTATTACAGCTTCAACTGAGGGTGCTTAGCACCCCCGTAAAACCGGGCCTGAAGGGGATTGTTAGTTTTGTTCTCTAGTTATTTTCCTGTGAGCTGAGCATGCCCTTCATGGATGTATTTCATAATTTTGTTGATTTTCGTTCCGTTTTTAAAGGGGTCATATGATTCGATTTCAATTTTTCCTTTGTCTTTGAAGTGTTACAAGCTCTCTGTGCATAAAGAAGATCTGTAAAGTTGCAAAGA